AAACAGATGGAGATAGATACTGAGTTGGTGTAAAATGTCATCGCTAAATCAGTGGGGTTATTAAAAGTTATACCAGCCGAGGATGTGCCCTCTAGTGAGCTAAATGATTCTTAGACACACATTTGTCTCTGGGGTAGAACCCAGCAGTTGTTCAAACGGTGCACAGCAGCACTATGCAACAATCCAGGACAGGAAGTGAAGATGCCTGTATCCAGTAGAAACTGCAAGTGGCTCTGATAGCAGGTGGGACCTCTACATGCTACTGTAGAACAAGTGTTACGATTCAGTCGCTGAAATATTCAGTCAGACCAGAAATGTGCAAAGAGTGAAGAAGCAGCAAGATGGGTGTGTGGCAATGACATGATTTTACAAAGGCCCAGTATCTGATGACCTGCAAGGCTGCACTGGCTGGAGTTACACACATGCCTTCAACACCAATAAACTTTAGGTCTGGGCTTGTGATCACAAATGAGCACTGTTAATGCAGCCTTACCTGGTCCAGTATATTTTATACATGGAATAGCCCCCAAATGCCTGATCATCTGGTAAGACTGCCATGGAAAGTTCACTAGCCTAAGTGCAAAAACCTACTGGATAGTTTGCTCACTGGTCTTTTAAAAAATAAAAAAGGCTAATGGCCTCAAGCAAGTGGGTAATGCAGCCCTCCCTTTATCTTGCACACACAACCTGCAAGCTCTTGGAAGATAAAGACAATTCACGTTGCTAGGTTAGGGTGGAGCAGCTAGGAATGGCTGGGTCTTGGAGCCAGCACAACATGCTGGAACAGAGCCGAAGTTCAGGGGATGTTTACTCCTTGGATTGGAGCAGCTTAAAAGAACCTGTCAAGCTGTGGTGGTTTTTTAAAAGTTCCATCACTTTTTATATCCCCTTGTGGGCTGGTAAACAAGGGGCTGGAATGTGGTCCCTTCCCATTCAGCTGTACAGGGTGTGGGATTCATAAACAGCAGCCTTGTGGTTTTTTGTTGGAAGTTTCATGCAGAGAAATACAGTTGAGCTTCTCAGGTAACTGCATGCGCCAGCCCAGTGGTGAGCCCCGGGCTCACGTGCTAGCTGGCGATTAGTGGAACCTCCTTTTAAAAATCACTTTCTGATTTTTTTTATTTTTTTTTATTTTATTATATTTTCTTTCTTCCTCAAATACATGGACAATCCTGTCTGACCCAAAGTATCTCTAGCACTAAGAACAACATTTGCATTCTGTGTGGCTTTAAAATACAGACACATGCGCCACCCAAATCTGCTGCTGTTGCTTGTAAAGTGTCTTCGATCCAGGTCTTAGTGTGGATGGGTTGCACCAATGAAGTAGTGAACTGTGGGAGAATTGGTCCTCCATCTTGTGACTAGGCACCCTCGGGCTTGTTATCTGGTATGTTAAAATTCGCCCACTATCAGCTGAACAAGAGACCCTATAAATGTGTCTGCACACATCAGCCAGGTATAAAGCGACAGTCAGGGCTTCTGCAGACACTGAGCCTGTGAGGCAGGGACATGCTTTGCGGATGGGCAAAATGAGACAGAGTTGGGTTACGAGACTGGCTTGGCCTCAGACAGCGCTGGGAATAGTACCCCCGAGTCCTGCCTGGTACCGTTGTGTCCTCCTTACTCCTTCCCTTTAACACTTTCAGAAAAGCAACTGAAATTGGTTCGAAGTAGCAGTGAGTGAGTGAAATTGACTTGAGTAAATCAAATCAGCGAATGCTATTACTTTGTATAGTCCTTTTTTCTGACCCTACTAACCATGCCTGACACACATTGTTCACTTGAAGTCAGTTCGGATTGCCACATGTGTGCGTCTGGGGAGGGTTTGCTGAAGAGCTGGCTGCGTTTCAGTGCTGGCTGACATGATCACCGGCTAGCTTGAAAAGCTCCTTGGGATGGTTCAGGTTGATGGGGGCAGAAGATGTGAACTGGAGCATTCTGTGAACTGAAGAGTGGCCATGGTAACTTATTACAAAGTGGGACTTTGTTACGGGTCCCATCAGAGGTATAGAAGGATTGTATAGCTCCTTTAAATATAATCCTGCTTTAAAGGATAAGGAATCCCTGTTTAAACCCAATAAAAAGCCGCTGCTAGCTTCTCAGCATTAGAGAGAGACTCCTGATCCTTGTCACTGGAAGGGGTGAGAAATGGGGTGTGTATAACAGTGTTTCTGGTGCATTTGAATCAAAGCCACACCAGCTTGATTTTTTTTTTTTTTTCAGGGACCGATCCTCAGCTGGCGTAAATCAGTGTAGCTCTGTTGACTTCAATGGAGGAACATTGATCTACGCTGGCTAGGGATCTGGCTCCTCAGAATCTAGGTGTGGTTCTCAAAGTAGCACTGGATTTGTTCCACTCTGGCCTCCCCAGTGCGAGAGCCATTTCCAAGTCCCCAGTTCTCCATGCAGCAGCGCGGGATCAGCTGCGGGTGAGGCGGGGTGCTCTCAGCCTGGAGGAGAAGAGCTTTGAGAAAGGGAAAGTGTTGCCTAGCCAGTAGCCCAGGGGTGGGCAAACTACGGCCCGCGGGCCGCAGCCGTTTTAAGCCAGCCCGCGAGTTCCAGCTGGGGAGCAGGATCTGGGGCTCACCCCACTCCAGCTGGGGCGCCAGGTTAGGGGCCGCACCACGCGTCTCCCGGAAGCAGCCACAGGGCCCCGCTCCACGCGTAGGAGCCGGAGAAGGGACATACCGCTGCTTCCGGGAGCTGCTTGAGGTAAGCACCGCTCGGAGCCTCCCCACGCCCCAACCCCCTGCCCCAGCTCTGATCCCCCTCCCGCCCTCTGAATCCCTCAATCCCAGCCTGGAGCACCCTCCTCCACCCCAAATCTCTCATCCCCAGTCCCACCCCAGAGCCCTCACCCCCTCCCACACCCCAACCCCAATTTTGTGAGCATTCATGGCCCGCCATGCAATTTCTATTCCCCAATGTGGCCCTCAGGCCAAAATGTTTGCCCACCCCTGCAGTAGCCCATACACAGCAGGGGATACGATGCTCCCAGGAGAAGAGGTCGTTTTCTGTAGAGCTGGTCAGGAACCTTTTGATGTAACGTTTGTGTTGGAAAACGCCAATTCGTCACAACGGAAACATTCCGTGGAAACGTATCAATTTCGATGAAACTTTCTCAAGTCCAGGGTGGAATTTCGGGGGGAGGGGAGAGCCAGACGGAATAGCCAGGAGCCCAATGCTTAGGCTCAAGTCTCTGCTCTCCCTGATTTGGAGCAGGACCTGGGTCTCCCACATCCCAGGTGAGCGCTGTAACCACCGGGGTATTGGCCACTGTGGGCTGGGTCAGGGTCTCTGTCTCTTTTCTGTTTTAATGGCAAATTTCAAAGGTCTCACTTGCGTTGCGAAGTGAAACGAGACAAATGCCAAAACCTCAGCCCTTGTGAAATGGGGAATAGTCCGACTGGCTGTCTAGTTTGCCACTCGCTCTGGCCTTTTCTTAAGGGAGACTGTAACCCCCCCGTGCAAGCCGCTTCCAAGCTCAGTCCTCTTTCTGTCTTCCTGGCATTTCCCCAGCACGCAGGTCCTCCCGGCAGAATTATATCCGGGGATGTACAATACTTTGCAGCTAGGTTCCCTTGTTTCTACAGCATGTCAGAATGGCTCCTGAGTGTAATTTACATGAGAGCCAAGGTTGGCTGTGCATCGCAGGGCTGTTGTCACACTTGACATGGGGCCTTTCTCGCCTTCCCCTTAAGCTTTTTCCTCCACAATGGCCCATGTCCTGCACTGACATCCAGGGGCTCAGTGTTTTTAAGGGCTTACTCAGCGGTTTGGGTACGTCTCGTAAACTTGTCCTCTTCAGGCCCTTATTTTTAAGGCAAATGGCCGTGAGCATTTGAGTGGAGGGTCAAGCAGGTTTGAGTCTCACTGTCCCAAACGTGGAAGCGTAGCCCTCCCTGGTGGTTAGAGAAGGAAACCAGCGTCTTTCTCTTCCCTGATTTGCCCACTGACTTGCCCTGCGGCCTTGTGCCAGTTGCTTCCGCTCTTTGTGCCTCCGCCTTCCCCTCCATAAAATGGGGATAGCAATACTTAGCCACCCCCATAAGGTGATCTGAAATCCTGGACTCGCAACGTATAATAACCTTCCGTAGCCCCCTACGACGTCACGGTTGTTAGTGCAACATCAATTCCCTCCGCCTCTGCGCAGAAGTCACCCAGACCCGTGAATAGTGTTAATCTTGGGGCCTTTTGAGAGTGAGAGAGTGTCTCTTTCAGGCTTCAGGATGAATTTCTGCTCCGTCCCTCCCTTCACATGAAGTACAATAGAAATAACCAGGGGGCAAAGACTCAATCGGAGGCCGTTCTTGTGCCCCAGGAGCATCTTTCCAGTTCTGTGCCTTCCTTTTCTGTCTTTCCGTGCTCTTGAGAAAGTGCCTGCGCCTGTCTCTGTGAGCAGAGGCTCCAGAAATCCTGTCTCCTTCCCCGTCTGCAGGAGTGTAGCCGTGCTGAGCCGCCATAGATGTGGCTCCGCAATCCGCACTGAGCTGGTTCCCTACTGGCCGTTTAACCCTACGGAGCTGCTGATGCAGAACCAGCTTTGGCCTCCCAGTGGATTAGTAACTCCACCGTGATGTCGGCGTCCCAGCCCTAAATGGAGCATTGAGCCCGGTGTTTGCTCCGTTTGGCCCTTTGTTCGGAAGTGTCATTTACACGGGAGCCAAGGTTGGATGTGCATCGCAGGGCCGTTGTTGCACTTGACATGGGGCCTTGTTGCTACACCCGAACCACCGTGGGCTAATTGTCCAGAAAGTCCGGGCCTGTTGTCTCCTGGTCACGAAATCAGAGGGGGGAAGTTAGGAGGAGGAAAGACCTGTTGGCTCAAGTCCACTCCCCCAGGAGCCTCTCTGCATGATTCTCTGTCTCACTGCAGGGGGAGCTCAGGATGTGTCCCCTACACACACTTGTACTCTGTGGCTGTGGGGAGCAAATGCAGGGGAATGCATAATTGTTTGGCTGGTTTATGTCATGCTTTCCCTTTCTCTTCGCGTCCCTAGTTGTGTACGAGCACAGATCGCGGCTTGAACGATCCCTGCAGAAAGAGCGAGGGGAGCACAAGAAGACTAAAGAAGGTGAGTCTCTTGCGCAGGCATAGCAGAGGCCGGCAGCAACTCATAGTCTCGCCAGGGAATAACGCACAGCACCTAAAGTGATTTCCACCTTCATAGCACTGTTCAAAGGTTAATGAATCCTCCCAATGTCCTCATGAGGTGGTAGATGGGAAACATCCCTGCTTGACACATGGGGAAACTGAGGCAGAATGGTTAGTGACTCACCCGAAGCCACAGAGGGAGGAGGTGGTGTGAGATCAGGGATTGGCACTCTGGAGTTAATGGCTCCTACTCCTGTATTTAGTCTCTGTCTAATCAACCAGTCTGTCTAGGCTCTTGCATTGACACCTGTGACGTAATATCTGAGTTCTTCAGACCCGTTCACTGAACCCAGCACTGGACCATGCCTCTTCATTTTAAATAGGTAAACTTTACGGCAAGGTGAAATAGCTTGTTCAGTTTCACAAAAATCAATAAAGCTATTACAGGTTCAGTGTTTGCAAGGTGTTCTGAAGATGTGCAGCTGCATAAGTGCTTCTTAATAATAATAGCATTATTGCAGGCTCTTTGTTATTGACATTGGCTACAAATTGTAAAACCTCCCATTAGCTTGAAATGCAGAGATGAACATGTCTATTTTTAAGACCGTGAAATTGAATAGGAAATAAGAAGCAAAGGGGCTAGAGCCTGTCTCTCATAGTAACACTGAATGCTGGATGGCAGATCACTTTAGCCCTGAATGTTGCTGGCAATTTAACAGCTTGGCTTGGATCTTCAAAGCTGCTATGGGGAGAAATACGTCTATCCCTTTTGGCCTCATTCCTAAGCTCCCTGCATTTCTGGAAACGTTGACATGTATCAGCCGAGTTTGTCATGAGCCTGTGGATAAATAGTTGACTCAAATGTTGAATGTCTGTCTTCTAATATTTAGATTTCTTTCCTAGTTTGTCAGCGTTGCTCTAGGAAATGAGGCGACTGCCAAATGGATCGCTGCAGAGCGTGCATGGACTCTGAATGGCTCAGGGCTGCGTGCATCTTGGCTCTAAGAACGCTGAGGAGCTTTTCTCCATGACTGGGTCCTGTAGACCATTTATTTCAAGCAAACCTAGCATTTGATGCTCGTGAAGTGAAGGACGAGGAGCGCTGTCTTCAGTTAGCCTTCACCACACACTCCCCATTGTCCTGACCAGCTGTATGCTCTGCAATTACTCGGGTAGCCTCCTCTTGGGAAGCCATATATAGCAAGCCATGCAGTGGTTTTGTGACTGGGGCACAAGGAAGTTGGCACGGTTACTCCACAAGGATCTGCGAGGCCAACGCGTTAACTCCCTGTACCCATCCCTTCCCAGGGGGTTTTGATTACCATTCATTGTGTTGTGGTAGCACCTGGGAGTCCCGTTCTTGCACCAGGACCCCCTTGTGCCAGGCGCTGTGCAGACATAGATCCAACAGACGGTCCCTGCCCCATAGAGCTTGTGCACTGAGCTGATGTGCTGCTGTGCCCTTAAAGTGAAGGGTGGCAAGTCTGTAAAATATTGGGCTAGAGTTTGCTCAGCATTTTGGGGGGTAAAATGAAAAGCTCCGCCCCCAGCTCTGCCATCCAGAGCATCCCTGCAGAGTGGCATGTGCTTGGCTCCCAGTGACACAGCAGTTAGGGTCAGTTCTGTTTCTCTGAAGCTTCTAAGCAAGTTGGGGGCATAAGTTTCATAGAGCCATTACCTAACCTAACCAAGAACCATAGCACCTGGCCTGACCAAGATACGGGCCCCTTTGCACTCTACGCAACAAACGTACAATCTAAATAGACAAGATGGACAAAGGCTGGTGAAGGGAAACTGAGGCACCATGTCAGGAAATGACTTGTCCATGGTATCACAGCAGGTTATTCACAAGGAATAGAACCCAGGTCTCCTGAGTCCCAGTTCAGTGCCTTATCCCCTGGGCCACTCTGCCTCCCGGCAGTAGCGATTTACACAGCCTTCTTGGGAGGGAGAGCACAGAGAAGGCGTCTTGGTGGGGCTGCTCTCGCAGTGGGGGGGAGAAATCTGAGGCACACTGGTGCTCCCAAAGGTATCACCCCCTTGTCCGGTGCTTTGTCGGAGCTCACTTCTGATCTCACTGCACCCCGATGACTAAGCTGAGCAAGGGAGGGAATCTCTGGCTTTAGAACTGATTGGACAAAGCATGGGTGCTTCTGGCCCTGTGCTGGTCTCTGCAAGCCCAGCAATACGTTACGGGGTCTAACTATTCCGTGTTAACTCCTGCTCCCCTGATGTGGTACCTTCAGCACCGAGGACTGGCCCTGTCAGATCCTGGTTGTTTAGGGGAGCTGCGTCTCTTCCAGCCGTGACAGTCCTCTGGAGAATGCAGGGGAACCCTGGTGGTGGGAATGTGGGAGATGCATGAGAGCGCCAATGCCACGTTCTTCACGGAAAGGCCCTTCTTATTTCTGTGTTTGATTCAGAGGGAGGAGCACGCAGGCAGACACCGAATAATTGAATCCCTTTCCCAATTCCAATAACCGATCTACAATACCGTGATCGGATCTAGTTAGTACTGAGGTTGGGTGGGGAATTCACCTAGCCTCCCATTCTAAGAAGAGGACACAGTGTAGCAAATAAATGATACACCTTTGTGAGGCTTGCAGGAGTCAGTGCTTCCCCATGGGCCGGTGCAGACAGGACTGAACGCAGTGCTATTTACGCCTGTCTACTGGAGTTGGGTTGCACGTGGAAATGTGTGCATCTCGCTCTGCTGGACTCTTATGTACATCAAAGTATCCACCAGGCAGCTCAATTAGAGGCCCAAGCACTGGAATATCGGGGGGATGCTGCAGAGCAGAACAACGAGACGCGTTAGCCAAGACTGGACCAATGGGGGATGCTGCAGTTCAGGATCGATGGACATTGCTCGAAGCTGGCAAGGGGACGCGAGCCCGGAATAGTAGCTTGGTGCTGTAGGGCCCCATTGAGATGCAGTGCCAGAGCGGAGTGGGCACTGAAGGGAGGTGAGAGATCATGGGAGCTTGAGGAGGCCAGAGCCAGCAACTGGGTCCCTCGCTTGGCATAAGCAATAAAGCCTCAGGAAAGGACAGGCCCTCTTTTCAAAGGGCTTTCTGGATCTAATGCAGCTACACTTGTGTTTTCCTTAACCCCAGACACTGTTATCTTCACGTTTTGCCTCTTGCAGTGGGTTACGTTGAGTCCGTTTGAATCATTTTATTATGATTTTGTTTTATGGTAGTGCCTAGGGACCCCGATCAGGTGCTGTACATGCAGTACAATGACATTCCCTGCCCTAAAGAATTGACAGTCCAGCCTTTCTATGTAAATCATGTCAGAGAGGATGAGATGTCCCACGGTTCTCTTTGGACTCTTGGAGCTGGCTTTGGCTCACCGTGGCTAGTGCTCACCAGCCAGCCCTTGGTGAAATTTGTGTGAAGATAAATCGGTGTGCTGTAAGATGCACTGCTTCCTCCACCTGTGTATGCTGTAGATGTGCCGCTGATGTTCTCCGTCAAGCCCACCGCCGTGCTGGGAGAGATGCCACTCTGTAGCTTTAAAATGTATTGCTCACTAGCATCTGTTGTCTCAAAGGACCCCCAAAGAATTGCACAATCTTCGCACTGCTGAAATGCTGCCATCCCTGGGGTGCAGAGTGGCAGCCATCTAGAACACCGTACTGTAGTGGGAAGAAGGGAAATGTTGGCCATGGCAGACAGGTCTAATGGAAAGTACTACACGGTCTTTGATTGCACAGAGCAGAAAGGACCTCGTGTTCTTTGAGTCTCTTAAAAGCTTCCGCATTCCATCGGGCTGTATCACAGCCTTTTGTCCGGTTAGGAGTTTTTCTCCTTCTGAAAATCTAAAACAGATCCTTGTAAATTCCATCCAATTAAACTCTCTTCTTTTTTCCTTTCTAGATTTTTTGGTGTATAAATTAGAAGCTCAAGAGGCACTCAACAAAGAGAAGGTAGGTACAGTACGTTCCTGTGTGTGTTTGAGAGATGTCCTTTTAGTATTTCCACAGCTGCACACCAACATACAGCTACCCAGAGGGAAGTGAAAAAAGACTCATTGGGGATGATGCTGGCATTAGAGTTTTGGGCCAAGAGGTATCCCATCAGGATGAATCCTGGGTCACTTCATCATTAATGGTCTAAGGGCTTTTGTCCATGTGAACATTTAGTTCCTGGGAAGCTGGGGTGTGAATCCATCCCACACTAGCCTGCTGTGGACTAAGTGTCCATGTGGACCCTGTTGACTTGCATTAACAGTTTGAGTTTGTCTACATGGGGGCATACAGAAAAATTAATCCAAATTAACTAAAGGTGTGAATTTGAACTGGATTAGTTAAACCTCATTAACACCTGTGTGAACAGCTTCATTCAGAATTAGAGTGGCCTTAAGTAAGTTTATCTGAATTCATTTCCAAAGTGAATTAAACCAAACTGAATTAAAGCCACCTTAATTCTGAATAACAGCATTCACACTGGGATTTAATGTGGTTTAACTAATTCACTTCGAATTCATACCTTTAGTTAATTCAGATTAATCTTCCTGGATGTTCCTGTGTAGACAAGTCCAAACTGTTAACATGCATCAGCAGGGTCCATATGGACAGTTAGTCCGCAGCAGATTAGTGCGTAGTAGATTCACACCCCAGCTTGCTGTGAACTTGTCTATACAAACAATTAGTCTTATGTGAGTATTTCAACTCATTTGGGAAGGAGAAAAGAACTGTGTCTCTCTGGGGATGTTGCTAGCCCAAGTCCCTATTGTTTGTCCAGATCTGTAAATGGCAAACTGAGTGACCGGACTACTTCTAGCCTCTGTGGCATCGTGGAGTCCTGTTCCTATGCCTATTGGCAAAGGAAAGGCCAGTTGTCTTTGTGTTGGACAGAATTCTAGTCACCTGCGAAACAAAGCATAGGGAGAGCACAGAAGAGAGAGGGACTATGCTGCAGGGAAGCTATAGACACTGTCTGTCACTGCGACGGGGGTAAATGGTTTCTCCTGGTCCGTGGGTGGGAGCGCGGCAGCAGAACGGAGTTGGGGGAAGATCATGAGTAGCAACAGCCTCTCCCCCGGCAGCCCTGTCCCGATGGGAGATGGGTGTTTGTCACTAACAATCTGCATGTTAAATTACCAGCTACCTGGTGCAGAGAGCCAGAGCAAACGATGCGTCTCGGCGGGGCGGTGGGGGGTGTGTCATGGAGGTAGTTGGGCTCTGCTTGTTATTCAGCCTATGGTAGCAAAGTTGATAGGTTTTACTGCCAACCGCCGTCTGCCTGAAAGGGTGTGTGTGTGTCTCTTTCTCCTCGGGGGTGAGGCAAGGGCATCTTTCAGTGGAGATGGGAGTCCTTTGTCATCATCTTCAGTAGCCCCTGGCCTTTTGCAAAACAGAGAGCATTGCATAACTGAGGGCTGTTGTTCACGGCATGTGATGCTGTGTGACCAACAGCAATGAAAGTGTCAGTGCTGCTGAATTCAGGCAGAACTTTATTACTCGAGTCCCTAGGAGCCCAGATAGCTCAGCGTTTGCATCTGATTTTCACAGGCTTCCTATTGTTTCTATTTATGGGGCTGAAATAATGCAAGATTGGTCCCATCCCAGGGTTTTCAGCCCCATAACTACTCTTTGTGGTGTTAAATCCCCTGACAGCTGGATGTGCAAATGCCAGAGCCCCTTTTCATTTATATCGTCACTGCAGTTTGCCAAGTGCCGTGAATATAGCAGCACAGAAAACAAAGGGGAACCTTTATGGTTAAACGGTATATTCGCTTTTAATGAAGAAGTTAATAGGGTGTACTGGTGAGACGCTCCTGTGAATGTGAAGAGCATCTACAGTTACTGGGGGGAAAATGACAAGGAATCTTGATCCTCATTCTTCAGGGCTTGGGTCAGGAAGAAATGCATCCCTAGGGGGTAACCCACTTACTTTAGATTATAGGACTTGTTACTCCCTCCCTGAAGCATCTGAAATTGGTCACTGCTGGAAACGGGGCACAGACTAGGTGAAACATTTAATCAGTTCCACTGTGACTGCTAAATACCATGCAGTTATAGAATTAGCATAGTGGATATACTTGCTAAATAGACTGATGGCTACGCAGCTCCATAGCAACTGTGTGTTCCGGAAGCTCATTTGGTGGTGGTATTTTGTGCCCTATTGAATATATAATTTGAGTTGTGGGTTAGAAGATGGCAATAACTATGCACTGTGCTTAGTTTGCAATTCCATGGTGCTGCCTGTGATCTGTCCCGTGCTACTTAAAGCTGCCCAAATACCGATCTGAGCAGAGAAGCTTGTGAAAAGGCAACAATTCCGCATCTTGTTCACCACCTGCGCCCTGCAAGCTCTGAGTTTTCACAGGGAAAAACAGAATCTGGGCCCTGTCTTCTGGGCTTGTCATTGCCAAGAAGGTAGAGAGGAGTCAGAGAGCTTTGGGGTGCTAGGAGCAGGGACCAATGGAAGGGTGCAGGGAGGAACGAGAAGTGCATGAAAGAGGGGGAAGGTCCACACGTGAGGGAACAGGGCGTTGGGGCAAAAGGCAAGAAATCCTTTCAGGTAAATGAGAGCCAGGTGGTGCCATTGAACTGTACATGTTGGAGAGACCATGTTGCCTTCTGCTGCCACACAAGGAACAAAAGTGGTGGAGCTGCAGGCAGATGAAAGTCTAAATGGTCTTGGGCCTCGTCAGCACACTAACTGCACTGGTTTGATTAAAATCGAGTTGGTTTAAAGCAGTGCAAACCATTCTCTGGACACGTTACAGATCTGTAAACTCGTGGTTTATATCTGGTAGCTGCGCCCATATCCAGGAGTTTCAACGGATGCAGTAAAACCAGCGCAAAGATTGGTTTTTAGTTAAATTGGTGTAATTTTCGCAATTAGGCGAGGGCTTAGGGCTTGTGTTGTCTGTCTCGCCCCTACGGCTCGTTGACAAGAGCCGTCATCCCAGTTCCCAGGGAATTCTGTCCTTTACAAAGCTCGGGTGCGAATCACAGGCCAGCGAGAATTACTCTGCATTTACGCCAGAGGAATGAGAGCAGAATCCTGCCCCTTAATTTTAAATAACTTCCCTGGCTGCATCTCAGTGCATGTGCTCAGGAGCCAGATTCTGATCTCACTTACACTGGTGTAACTCCATTGAAGTCAGTGCAGTTACTCCAGTTTTACGCCACTGTGAGAGCAGAATATAACCCTTCATTTTCTTTACCCTGGAAAAAATTCCTTGAAACCAATATTTTTTGTGAAATGGGCGGGTTCGATGAAACGCCTGCGCTGAAAAGCTTTTGGTTAAAAAAAGTTTCCAGGTTGTTAAAGCCTCTCATTTCAATATTGTCAAATCAGAAAGTTTTGAGGGTTTTTTGTCTCGAAAAAACTTTTCACTTAGAAATGTTAGTAAATTTTACTCTAAAAATATTAGTCAAAATCAAAATGAAATGTTTCAAACTGATCAAAAAGAAATATTTTGATTAACCCAAACCAAAGGGATGTTTTTGTATTTTTGGTTCACAACATTTTCAAGCTTTCGAGTTTTTGTCCAATTTGTGATCGGATTTTTTGACTTTTTTTTTTTTTTAAAGTCTTATGTTTCCTGCCCAGACAAAACTAGTAGTTTGGTTATTTTTAACTAATCCATTCTAGCAGCACTCCCTGAGAAGTGACCCTTCTTAGGTTAAATGGATACAACGCTTAGTCTTATACAGGAGACCAAACATCATGTGCGTTGCTTTGCATGTACATTTAATGGTATGATTATGTAGCCACAATGATGTTTGTGTGTGGTTTTGATCTGCCTCTGTATCTTCTGCATTCTAATGTTTTTATGTATTTGTTACAGCAAGATTCTATGAACAGATATGGGGCCCTCAGTTCACAGCATAAGATACTGAAGGTAAGTCAGTGCATGATTGGTGAAAACA